GCTTGTGTCTGTCAAGACTGTCTCCAGTCTGGTGCTTGTGTATGTCTAGTCTCTCCCCAGTCTGGTGCTTGTGTCTGTCTAGACTGTCTCAAGTCGGGTGCTTGTGTATGTCAAGACTGTCTCCAGTCTGGTGCTTGTGTCTGTCAAGACTGTCTCCAGTCGGGTGCTTGTATATGTCTAGTCTGTGTCCAGTCTGGTGCTTGTGTCTGTCTAGACTATCTCCAGTCGGGTTCTTGTGTCTGTCAAGACTGTGTCCAGTCTGGTGCTTGTGTCTGTGAAGACTGTCTCCAGTCTGGTGCTTGTGTCTGTGAAGACTGTCTCCAGTCTGGTGCTTGTGTCTGTGAAGACTGTTCCCAGTCTGGTGCTTGTGTCTGTGAAGACTGTCTCCAGTCTGGTGCTTGTGTCTGTCAAGACTGTCTCTAGTCTGGTGCTTGTGTCTGTCTAGACTGTCCCCAGTCTGGTGCTTGTGTCTGTCTAGACTGTCTCCAGTTGGGTGCTTGTATATGTCTAGTCTCTCCCCAGTCTGGTGCTTGTGTCTGTCAAGACTGTCCCCAGTCTGGTGCTTGTGTCTGTCAAGACTGTCCCCAGTCTGGTGCTTGTGTCTGTCAAGACTGTCCCTTGTCTGGTGCTTGTATCAGTCAAGACTGTCTCCAGTCGGGTGCTTGTATTTGTCTAGTCTGTGTCCTATCTGGTGCTTGTGTCTGTGAAGACTGTCTACAGTCTGGTGCTTGTATCTGTCTAGAATGTGTCCAGTCTGGTGCTTGTGTCTGTCTAGACTGTGTCCTGTCTGGTGCTTGTATCAGTGAAGACTGTCTCCAGTCTGGTGCTTGTATTTGTCTAGTCTGTGTCCAGTCTGGTGCTTGTGTCTGTCTAGACTGTGTCCTGTCTGTTGCTTGTATCAGTCTAGACTGTCTTCAGTCTGGTGCTTGTATTTGTCTAGACTGTGTCCTGTCTGGTGCTTCTATCTGTCTAGACTGTCTCCAGTCTGGTGCTTGTATCAGTCTAATCTTTCCCCAGTCTGGTGCTTGTATCTGTCTAGACTGTGTCCAGTCTGGTGCTTGTATTTGTCTAGTCTGTGTCCTGTCTGGTGCTTGTGTCTGTCTAGTCTGTCTTCATTCTGGTGATTGTATCTGTCTAGTCGGTGCTTGTATATGTCTAGTGTCTCCCCAGCCTGGTGCTTGTATATATCTGTCTAGACTGTCTCCAGTCTGGTGCTTGTGTCTGTCAAGACTGTCTCCAGTCTGGTGCTTGTATCTGTCTAGACTGCCTCCAGTCTGGTGCTTGTATATATCTGTCTAGACTGTCTCCAGTCAGGTGCTTGTATATGTCTTTCCCAAGTCTGGTGCTTGTGTCTGTCAAGACTGTTCCCAGTCTGGTGCTTGTGTCTGTCAAGACTGTCTCCAGTCAATTGTTGTGTCTGTCAAGACTGTCTCCAGCCTGGTGCTTGTATATATCTGTCTAGACTGTCTCCAGTCAGGTGCTTGTATATGTCTAGTCTTTCCCAAGTCTGGTGCTTGTGTCTGTCAAGACTGTTCCCAGTCTGGTGCTTGTGTCTGTCAAGACTGTTCCCAGTCTAGTGCTTGTGTCTGTCAAGACTGTCCCCAGTCTGGTGCTTGTATCTGTCTAGACTGCCTCCAGTCTGGTGCTTGTATTTGTCTAGTCTGTGTCCAGTCTGGTGCTTGTGTCTGTCAAGACTGTCTCCAGCCTGGTGCTTGTATATATCTGTCTAGACTGTCTCCAGTCAGGTGCTTGTATATGTCTAGTCTTTCCCAAGTCTGGTACTTGTGTCTGTCAAGACTGTTCCCAGTCTAGTGCTTGTGTCTGTCAAGACTGTCCCCAGTCTGGTGCTTGTGTCTGTCTAGACTGCTTCCACCCTGGTGCTTGTATATATGTCAAGACTGTTCCCAGTCTGGTGCTTGTGTCTGTCAAGACTGTCCCCAGTCTGGTGCTTGTGCCTGTCTAGACTGCTTCCAGCCTGGTGCTTGTATATGTCTGTCTAGACTGTCTCCAGTCAGGTGCTTGTATATGTCTAGTCTCTCCCCAGTCTGGTGCTTGTGTCTGTCAAGACTGTCTCCAGTCTGGTGCTTGTGTCTGTCTAGACTGCTTCCAGCCTGGTGCTTGTATATATCTGTCTAGACTGTTTCCAGTCTGGTGCTTGTATATATCTGTCAAGACTGTCTCCAGTTAGGTGCTTGTATATGTCTAGTCTTTCCCCAGTCTGGTGCTTGTGTCTGTCTAGACTGCTTCCAGCCTGGTGCTTGTATATATCTGTCTAGACTGTTTCCAGCCTGGTGCTTGTATATATCTTTCAAGACTGTCTCCAGTCAGGTGCTTTTATCAGTCTAGACTGTGTCCTGTCTGGTGCTTGTGTCTGTCTAGACTGCTTCCAGCCTGGTGCTTGTATATATCTGTCTAGACTGTTTCCCGTCTGGTGCTTGTATATATCTGTCTAGTCTGTTTCCAGTCTGGTGCTTGTGTCAGTCTAGACTGTGTCCTGTCTGGTGCTTCTGTCTGTCTAGACTGCTTCCAGCCTGGTGCTTGTATATATCTGTCTAGACTGTTTCCCGTCTGGTGCTTGTATATATCTGTCTAGTCTTTTTCCAGTCTGGTGCTTGTGTCAGTCTAGACTGTTTCCAGTCTGGTGCTTGTGTCTGTCCAGACTCTTCAGTCTGATGATTGTGTCGGTGAAACTACGGTGAAGTTACGGTGAAGTTATGGTGAAGTTTTGGTGAACTTATGGCCAAGCAAAGAATATAAATATACAAACACACATTGAGTAAAGACAACGTTTTTATTTGAAAACTTGGGAATGAACACAGTTTATCAGATACTTTCATTTAAAGGAGCGCACATGAATGCACAAGGCAATAGCCAATTAACAGAAATAACTCTTAAAACGTCAGCAACTAAAGTCAACCCAATGGCAAGACTAGACAAATCTGTATTAACATATTGGAAATAGCAGACAAAATATGTAAACATATTGAATTCAACAGAGGGATACTTCACCAAAATAGAATGAGTGAGTGAGTGAGAGAGTGAATGAATATTGCTTAAAGCTGCATCAAGTGTGCAATTAGTCCCAGCTAAAATACCGAGACACCATCACTGTTTTCGGGATATTTGTGACCTCTATCCAACGTAAACATGATACTTCTATACTGACATAATCAATTTATTGAAATTGGTTTCACACTGGAAACTAGACCTTCAAATAATAAATATTTTAAACCAACATGATATACAAAATGATTGGATTTCGCTTTTTAAATCACACTTTTTGATTTTTATAGGACCATTTTCTGGGAATGTATGTTTCACTGACTGTTCCTTGATTGCCAATATTATCATGCAGAACAAACCCAAGTGAAAACATGGTGTTAAATAACAAACCAATTTTTTCATTTAATACGTAATACAACGCACGATTGCCTTCACTCAACATTAACATACAAACATAGCAAGACAATGGCTAATATACCCCAGAATGTGTTCACTATAATGATGCAAAATGTGATGACATGGAGTTTAATGCCCCTAGCAAAATAACAGCCGTAACATGCCAGGACACCATAATACATCCACTATGACGAGTGAGTGAGTGAGGTGGGTTTAACGCCGCTTTTAACAGTATTCCAGTCATATCACAGCATGTCAGCTTAATGTGGGAAGAAAGCCCGAAGTGATGCAGGTCTCAGACGTTTACCACTTCGGTGAAACCCACGAGCACGGGTATGGTGCTGACAAACCTAGAAACATAATCGGGGCGAACCGGGATTCGAACCCTCAATCATAGGTTTCTGGCGTGCCCAAGGGACGCAACTCTGCACAGCGAATCGCGGCGCCTTAGATGACTGGGCCACCCGTGCCCCCCTCCACTTTGACAAAGCGATATCAGGTGTATGAGGGTATTTCTATGATAACTCTGCCTGAAAAAAGAAAATGTATATAAAAATCTCCTCCTGTGTCTGAATTCCTAGGTCAATGGTTCAATGGTTCTATATGCATGAACCTAGTTTTCTGACTAACACAAAATTATCACAACTGAAAGTTTAAAAATAAATATATTTTGGGGTAATCTCAGATCTATGATTTCTTACAACAAAGACGTGGGTTCAATTCTTGGTTAACCTTCTGTGAAAAACATTGGTCGGTAGGTTGGAAAAAAATAAGACATTTCAGATTTCTTTATATACCTGAAAGGTAATCTGAAGATGTTGTCATATGTGCTATGTTTGCTGAGAGGGTCATCGTTAGCTTCAGGTAAATGTTGTACGAATGTATTTTTAGGTCAACGCATTCGGTGGAATAAAAACCAAAAAATATTTTTTGAAACATTATTTTTCTTTTTTCCATCTACTCTATATTTTGGGGTTATTTATTCTATATAAGGGAGGGTTAATTAACTATTTTCTCTGTGAGGAGGCGCCTAACAATTCAGTTGGGTCTTTTTTATTACTTTTCTACTTACAGTAAGGTGAGTATCAGAATAGTACAATCTCATTAAAATCAGATCGTAGTTCTTGCTGATGCTAAACAAAGATCTGAGGACATCCCATTAGGGGTCACGTCAGAGCGACCTTTCATCCGACCAATCAGAGCATCACCTACCAGATCATGAAAGTGACAGTCAGAATGTGATTTCTAATCATGCAACCTCAAAAACTTTTTACACGGGGTATTTCGAACGATAGTTATGGGGTTAACGACTGAATCCATATAACCTAGACCATTTATTAGCCATTCCAGAATGTTCTTTTGTTCAGGTTTCAAATTTGTAATCGAGAATTTGTCAAAATATGTTTGGAAGTGTAGTCGCCAATTTGAAATTAGTGCCGTAAAGCACGAGTAAGCTGCCTTCTGATTGGCTAATGTCGACTTCTTGTCAGTCATTCCATTGGTCAATCAAAGTTTGCGCAAGGTCGGTCTGACATGCCCATAATGGGATGTCCTCAGATCTTTGTTTAGCGGTAGCGAGAACTAAGATCTGATTTTAATGAGATTGAGAATAGTATCACTTCAAAGCAGCAAGGATGTTAATCAGGCCAAGTGATGACTGTCATTTACAAGAATGAAAGCTTCATCACACCAAGTTTCCTATCCTTTACAAGGAATGTTGTCAATAAAAATTCTTTTAAAGCTCGGGTAACAAATTGTGAACACAATGTATAATACTGCAAGCAATAATACGGTTGCAAAAAAAGATAGTGCTGTCAGAACAAATCTGCTTTGAGCAGTAAGTTACTAAATTTAGCACTAAAAAATACTTACCGTATTCGACGTAATAAGCGCCCAGGGCGCTCTCAAAATTAGGAATAGGGGGCTCTTACTAGAATAATATTTTGGTGGAAAAAAACAAAACAGAGTTATGTATGACAGATATATTTTTCAAGAATTTAATTGCCCATAATTAAGGTGCATATAACACACGAGTACTTATTATACGCGAATAAATAAGTCTTGTGTACACTGATCAATTGGAAGGGGTGCTAATTGGGATTGTACACTAGAAAATATATAACCACATATCGCTTATTACGTCGAATACAGTATACCCAGTTCACCAATGCATATAGATGAGTATTACCTATGGCATATTTGTTATATCACATCAGAGACTCTGAGACAGTTCCTGCAATAGTGGCATCATGGGACTACAGTACCAGGCATATTAACAAACACAAAAAACGGTAAGTTTCAACAAATTGATCCGATAGATTTCTACCACAAAAATGACAATTTAGTTTTTAGGTGTTAACAGTCAATGATTTGTTATGTAGATTTTGTCCCCAAAAGTAACAATACATATGACTAGACTACAAAAACGAAACTATGATATTACCACAAAATGCTGTTGTGGCCTCAAACACACTGCTGGGCAAAAGAAAGTATACAACAATGTTCGATGGTGGCTGACAATGAATCAAACAGGAAATGGTTATTCGATGGTGAGGTATTTGATACAGGTAGCATAGCATGTTTTGGCAACTATTTTCATCCTAGTACCGTTTTGATTGGTCAATTGAATTTTCAAGTGATACTTTCTTTTGCCCAGCAGTGTATTTCTTGTCAGGGTAATAAAATAAAGTTAAATGGCATGGTGGTACTGTATTGGCCTATCATAATATCACATGGAGGAGTTTGGCTTCATCCTGGTGCTTCCATCATCACAATCAAACAGTCTAACTACAAGAAACATAACACAACACATGCAGAGCACTGTAGAACCAAAAAAAGTTTAAAACTGATAAATATAAATATTCACTGAAGATTACAATGAAAGTGGAAATATGGACTAAATACAGAAAACATATGAATACTGGTATCATAATATAACAAGGTATACGGTTGATCATAAAATGAAATAAGGACTCATTCATGCAGTGTTTCATGAAGCTTTTAAGATACAGGTATGAGTGAGTGAGTGAGTGAGTGAGTGAGTATGGTTTTACGCCGCTTTTAGCAATATTCCAGCAATATCACGGCAGGGGACACCAGAAATGGGCTTCACACATTGTACCCATGTCGGGAATCGAACCCGGGTCTTCAGCGTGACAAGCGAACGCTTTAACCATTAGGCTACCCGACCGTCCCCTGATACAGGTAGGAATATATTCATGTTTTACAGCACATAAAAAACGCTCCTGCTCAAAGGAGCAACAACACGCCAACTTGGAAAGTATTGAAATACAGATGGCTTTTTGCTTTGTAGATTCAAAATTTGCTTCTTATGTACAATAATCTTGACTGGTTTGATTTGTGTTTAGCGCAAATTGGCATAAGGTGATGACGTAGATAATTAAAGTGACACCTGGACGACTGAGAGTTGGAGTGTTGTTATTTAAGACTTATAAGCAGTAGATTAATGCATTTCGGTAGTTTGGGGCACTTAGAAGTGTGTAGAGCTGGAAAACTTAAACATTTCTCTTTGGCATGGATACTCCTTGTCTCTTATTAAGATTGTACAATGTCCCTTGCACTGTGATACTAATCATATCATATACCCCGACATTACAATACAGATCATATCTCATACAGTGAGTGAGTGAGTATGGTTTTACGCAGCTTTTAACAATATTCCAGCAATATCACGGCGGGGGACACCAGAAATGGGCTTCACACATTGTGCCCATGTCAGGAATCGAACCCGGGTCTTCGGTGTGACGAGCGAACGCTTAAACCACTAGGCTACCTGACCGCCCCCGAATCGTGTTAGAAATCGGACATCTGATTGACTCAAAACCCACTCATCCTTCATTTCTATTTGGAAGTCAAGGTTCACCTGGTCCTATCGCCTTGGGAGTAAAAGACATCTTTAGTCCAACTTTGATCCGACATAACATAATGTTTTCTTTGTCTACTACCTACAGGAATGTACTGGTCTTACATGGAAAAAAGACCCAACAAAAAACAAAACTGAAGATAAAAACAACTGGTTTGGAATAATAACAAAGTAACAATCGGTACATTTTCAGGACCACATTAGTCCATTTGTTAGAAAAAGTTGCAGCAGCAGGAACAATGGAACAGCAAAAACCTCTCTGTCCATGCCCCAGTAATCCGGCAAAAACTCACGTTCCAGTATCTTGTTTGGCACGTGGTTTATAAGGGACATCTTTCCATATCTATATTTATCTATATTTAAATGTATTTAATAAATATATTTAATCTATATTTAAATCTAGAAATTTGCTCATCAGGAAAGTTGACCTCAGAAGAGTATCAACATTGACAACGTATCTCTGTATACAGACAAATTTGACAATCTACAGTCAAGTCCCGATAATCCGACATGGTTGGTTGGATATGATTAGCGGAGTAACGGGTCTAAATAGCACGGATTTAATTGGTTCCCATCATTAGTGTCGGAAAAAGAACGAGTGTATTACCGAGACTCTACTGTAGTTAGTTCGCATAAAAACAGGTTTCTATAATTAAATACTCATTTTTTTCCAAGAAGACCAACAATCAAAGCCAGGCACACTTTGAACATATTTTATCAATTGTCAATCAGGGTTAGAACTAAACTCAAAAACTTCACTTGCCCCACTAAGGATAAAATGACTTTGTAATGTTAAAACAATGGGGAAATTTGGAAATTTGTACTAGCCCGAATGAATTTTTTACTAGCCTTGGGCTAGCGGGCTAGTGTTAATTTCTAACCCTGTCAATTTGAAATATCTTTTTTAAATGACCGATGTCCAGAATTAAAAACGACACACCAATGCCCAAGAAAAATTTCCTTTCTTGTAGCCTTAGAGAACATCAGGTCTGGAAATGCAAGACTCTAGTTGAGGATAAATGTGTTTTTTCTTTTACAGTTATTTGAAAATGGGTTTCAAGGTAGTGATTAAAACTAGAGTCTGAGACGTGCTTTGCGCAGCTTGTTAGTCTCTTCTCAGGTGTCTCCCTTCATAAACAAATCACGGTGAAATGAGCCTTCAAAATTCACTAGCCTACTAAATTGTGGTGAGAAAAAGCAAAAATACAATGATGGTAGTCCTCATTGACTAGTAGCATTTGAGGGCTACAGTCTTGAACCTGTTCTTAATGCTTCAACCTTGCTACAAATTGAACTGAATAAAACAGACAACAAATGTAAACATAGTAAACATATTTGTCTTTGGACGACTAGTGAACAAAGATTCCACTAGTCATCTTGACTAGTCTTAAACACAACAACAAATATCTTCGGCTGCTTATGTTGTAAAAGGGATCTTGACACAAGTCGTGAAAATGCTTTAACCAAAAACCCTTTGAAAACTTATCTTGTTACTTGTTTGTTGTTAAACGCCGCACTCAACAATATTCCAGCTATATGACGGCGGACTGTAAATAATCGAGTCTGGACCAGACAATCCAGTGATTGACATCATGAGCATCGATCCACGCAATTGAGATACGATGACATGTATCAACCAAGACAGCAAGCCTGACCTTCCGATCCCATTAGTCGCCTCTTACGACAAACCCAGTCGCCTTTTACTGCAAGCATGGGTTGCTGAAGACCTATTCTACCCCGGTCTGATAATGACAGTAACAAAAATTGTCATATTCAATATCAAGTAAACGAGGCTACATAACGATGTAAGTTTTAAACATCAGGATGAGGATTACTCTATACTGATAGGGAAATGAAACCGAAAAAATAAATATTAACGTGACACAAACACAAACAAAGATAGAGGTCTACATGGACCAATTGGGTAGCTGACCAACACAAACTTGGCAGCCTGACTTCTACTTTGCTGCAAAGCATTAAGGACTGACAGGATATGACATGTTAAAGGACTAACGGAATGTAGGCATTAAGGACTGACTGGAAATGACATTTTAAAGGACTGACGGAATGTGGGCTGCCACCATCCTTGCTTGCAAAATATGTTTCACAGACTTGACCTGGCATTGTCAATAATTTCTGGACGAATTGTTTTTATGAAGCATTTATTTTACATTCACACGGTGTTCATTGAGTACATGTCACAACCGAGAATAAAAAATCATCACTTAACAAGTTTCCACTCAACCGAAAAAAACTAAACATACTTATCTGAGAAAGTAAATATTTTTTACTGCTGGTCAAAGTGACTTAAGAAGCTCTTTGGTATACTGGGGCCATGACGTTCACTACAATAGAATGTCCAGACACCCTTCAATCAAACTCAGGGCTTTTAAATGGACTCCAAAACTCTAAAACCTAATTCTGAACATTGCTTATGAGAGAGTGAGTTGGGTTTAACACCTCTTCGAACAGTTTTCCAGTTACTGTTGACTCCTGACACTCATACACAAACCCTTCTGTCTGTACTGATAGGATACACATGGCTTATGACAAGGTGGGAAAACTTATTGCAATGCATATGTATTAACACAAATGACCTTTACACAAATGAGCAAACCTTACAGTGGACCAGTTACCACAACTCCCTTCACAGTATCCATCAGATGTAGTACCTACAAGAATTGTCTCCCTTGAATGGAGTCTTAACAAGCTCCTCACACCGTAGCACATACATGGAGCTCTCAAATCTATCGCTGCCACAACTCGGGATGCATTGAGATGAACACGCAATCGACTGACCGTCATGTTTACAAACAAGGGACGACTGTCATTACGCCAAATACACTTTCCCCAGCTAAATGATTTTGATTGTTAATTTGAATTTCATTTCAATTTAACAGTAATCTAATTAGTTTAGTGAATAATGAACATGGAAGTTGGGCGCTTTTCTGCTTTTCCGTAAGTGTCTAATCTCAAACCAAGCTTATTAAACAATCAAACATTAATTAAGTAGAGAGTCATTAAACGTAATAAAATAGTAAGTCAGTCGCAAACCTTACCCCAATTCACTAAAAATTGTAACTAGATCACTGCAACTGGGGTTAGAGGGAACATTGTCAAGATTCTTGTAATGGCCGCTTGCACACTGGTGGCAGCGATGATACCAATAGGGTAACAATGATGTCACACACTAGGATGAAGCATTGGCTGTTCAAGTTTGCTCCATAAAAATGATGGACCAAGAGAACTGTCAAAGCTGGAGTACCCTCAAAATATATGAAATAAAATATTCAGCTCAAACACTGCTATGCATGAGTGAACTGAAGACACAAGAGTCAGCCACTGCAACTGTGGTTACTGAACCCAGGATTGTAAAATAATGACATGAATGTAACTAATAACAACAACAAGCATGTCAATTTCATAAACAGTTGGAAGAAATGCCTTCACAAATACTGACAAGCATTGAAATTTTTTTAAATTTAAAATTTAAAAATGTACATAAAATATGTCATGCAATTTAATATCTGTGTTGGATCGGATGTACCACAACACCACTCCCCAGTGTAACCACTGTTAAGTCGACTACAATGCATAGTAGCTGCATTACCATGAGACAGACAGGCAGGCCACTCCAACACACCAACCGGATTCCATTCGAATATGGCCAGGCAGCATCTCAATACAGGTCTGTGGACAAAAAGTACAAAATATTATCAATAATCTGGAACCTAATGTTATTGCAAGTTTTGTTGTTTCTATTGTTTGTTTGTTGTTTAACGCCACTCTGCGATATTCCAGCTATATGACGGCGGTCTGTAAATAATCGAGTCTGGACCAGACAATCCAGTGATTGACATCATGAGCATTGATCCACGCAATTGGGATCGCTGACATGCATCAACCAAGTCAGCGAGCCTGACCACCCGATCCCATCAGTCACCTCTTACAACAAGCATGGGTTGCTGAAGACCTATTCTATCCCGGATCTTCACGGGTCTTGTTAGTGAGTGAGTGAGTATGGTTTTACGCAGCTTATAGCAATATTCCAGCAATATCACGGCGAGGGACACCAGAAATGGGCTTCACACAATGTCCCCATGTCGGGAATCGAACCTGGGTTTTCGGTGTGACGAGCGAACGCTTTAACCACTAGGCTACCACGGGTCTTGTTATTTCTAAATCAAATCTAATTCTAAAGCACTCATTCTACTAGTTTGAGAAAGCAGGTGGATGTTTGTTTGTGTTTGTTTGTTGTTTAATGCCCTCTCAGCATTATTCCAGCTACATGACGGCAGTCTGTAAATAATCGAGTCTGGACCAGACAATCCTGTGATTGACATCATGAGCATTGATCTATGCAATTGGGAGGCAGTGAAATGCATCATCCAAGTCAACAGGCCTGACCATCCTATCCTGCAGAATTTATTGACAGCAATCTTTCAGTGTTGCCCCCCTAGAACTGTGGAATAAACTACCTCTGAGCATAAAAATCATGTTCAAATCTCAGCTAAAGATTCATGATTCCCCGAGGATAATATTCACTGACTGTAGTGCTTTGAGAATGCTCATTGTTTATGGAGGCTAGGGGTTTATAAATACACATCATCATCATCATCATCATCATCACCACCATCACCACCACCATCATCACCACCACCATCACCAGCACCACCACCATCATCATCATCACCAGCACCACCACCACAATCATCATCATCATCATCATCATCATTACTACTACACTGTCATCATCATCATCATCATTACTACTACACTGGAAGTGGTCACAATTTTGTCAACAATGTAGAGGAACAAGTTGTCGTGCACTGACGACTGGGCATGTTGCTTTCTCTCCTAAATCCAGCAGTGACTTAGGATTGTCTCACCTTGTAAGAAATCAGCCGTTGCTCTAGTAACCAGCTTCTTTGAGCGCGTCACAGATACTTGTCACGGCTAAACAGTTGTTTGAAGGCTGGACAGATTCATCGTCATACATTCCAATAACGTAGGCTGAAAACAAAAACAGCGAGGTATGAATTATGGAATGTAATTATACCAGTCTGAGGTGAGGTGAGGTGAAATGGGGTTTAACTTCGCGTCCAAGATTATTGCACTTATATAGCGACGTGCATGCACGTGTATGTCTGTGTGGCTGCTTGTACTAGTCCGGACTGATGCCGATTTATAGTGCTAGCTCACTGAGATACCATGCCGCAGTTTAACATGAATATCCCACTCAGACACAGTATACTGACTCCAAGCCGACCAGTCCTTGTTTTAGCCCCTTAATGCCGAGCGCCAGACAGGGTAACAACAAGTACCATCTTTTAACGTCTTTTGGTATGACGCGGCTGGGGATCGAACCCCGGACCTTCCTCTCTTCGGGCAGACGCTCTACCATTAGACCACGGAGGGGGTTATACCAGTCTGAGCCAAAAAACGTTTGGGTCTACTAGACCAAACACATCTTCCCGAGGCAAGGGAGTTAACTGACCATAAACGTCCAGTTTCCACCCTTGCCGAACTAATGAGTCCATGCATAGTACAATCAAAATCGCACAACAAAATCGAAATCCGGTTTGTAAACTGTCGTGCAGATTTCCGCATGTGCACCGGCAACTTGTTGTCAAACAGATATTTTCCAAAATTTTTCATGTTTTTAATCAAGGTGTTGAAATGATGCACTTTGCGATGTAAGACCTGTTTTTTCACATTATAGATCTTGATAATCGATCAGATTGTTTCGACTGGGCACCACCATTTTGGTTGAAACAAATGCAAGTGATACGAGAGGTGGAATCCGATTGGTCCATAGGAGAGGCTGAGAAGGGACATAACTTGTAATAGCCACTGGTGGCGCTACGATCAAGCCCAGGAATTCCAGTCTAGTTCGTCAAGGGTGGAAACTGGACTTTTAAAGTCAGTTAACTCTCTTGCCTCGGGAAGATGGCCCGAACATGTCTCTTAACATCATTGTCAGTAGTGTAGCATGTTTAGCGTCACTATATAGACGGTTATTAGCTGAGCTAGATCAAACAGAATTTGACCAGACTCAGTACTTGAGACTGTTATGGTACTCAACTCTTGATAGGAACTGGGAGTACATGTATTAGTTTGTGTACAATATTAAAATTTGTAATGAAACTAAAGCAAGTGTAGCTTCATTGCAAGGTGATTAGACATAAGCTCACAGTTTAATAAGTAGCTGTCACGTTTAGCCACTGTATGGAAAATAGTTCTATTTTGGCATGCCTAACGAGTCCATGCACAGTCCAATCAAAACTCACCTAACGAAATCGATATCTGTTTCGTGAACAACATTGCAGATTTTGGTTAACTGCAGGATTTGCAAAGCATGTGTACCGTTAACTGGGTGTCAAACGATATTTTTCCAAATCTTTTCACGTTTTTAGTCAAGGTGCTCAAGTGATTTGATGCGTTTAGCGAGGAAACACGTTTTATTACAATGTATTTTTTAGAGTAAAAATATCATTAATACTTATCCTGACTCATACCATTACTTTTCTCTCTCTCTCTCTTTCGAAAGGTAGTGGAAACTTCCTGTGCTGTGCTCTGCACAGGGCTCAAAGTTCATAGCTAAGTAGATATTTTTAATCAGTAGCCAAAATGAAACGCTATTCGCCATGCAACTTTACCTTTTACAATCGTGATAAATACAAGATTATGTTTATTTGAAGTTGTTTGTTATTTATTATAATTGATTACAGTAAAAGACATCAAATTTGCACACAGTGTTGCAATTGTAACAATGTTAAATGTTTGAGCATTTATATATTAGCTGGCTCTCAAATAGATGTTTGTTTTGAGAACTGTCAAACATGATATGATTACATGATCATGGATCACTTTAAAAAGATTCTTTACTTCAATCTCAATTTTGTACACAATGGTGTATGCCTGATGTCTTGAAAGATTGAAAAAATCTAAATGTCAGTGGAATTGACTTCATTTAACTTGTCACTGATTCATGTAAATTGAAAGTTCCGAGAGACTCTTGCGTGATAGATGAAGCCAACATTTATCATGTAATACACCATTTAAAAGGTCTAAGCCTACTGTTCATACATATGAAAGCTATGTTTTATTACATTATCTAAATTCAGAAAATCCACTTACTATTTCTTTTATATTTTCATTGTTTGTGTAATTGGAAAATTATTTTAAAAAGAATTAAAATAACATCTGTCTTTACCCATTTCCCGATAACAGGGCTGTCTGCTAAGTAACATGAAGAAATACCATTTTTTTTAAGCTTCGTATGAATAACACGTACGTCGAAGACTGCCAAGTGCCCACCATTAGAAAGCTTCTTTTTTTTTAATCTATGTGACAGTAACCTCTCTCGGAGTCTTTTTGTTGCTGTAACTTGTCCTCATTATACCTGAAGTATTGGGCAGTTTGTCAAGGACTATAGGTCCAGAGCTCCAGATAAGCTGCGTATCTGCGTAAAATACCCATCAGAAATGCAGAAATACGCAGTGAAATAAAATTCAAGCATATCAAATACGCAACGAACATTACAGATACGCTACAAAAATAAAACTTGTGTGTATCATCAAAATATTGTGAAGTAACCCTGCGTTTTCGATTAGCAAATCAAACTTATTTTGAAATTATATACGGACATTCCGTCAACCTTGCCAAACTCCACGATGACAGTTACATCATGATCATTTGCCATCACACTTTCTGGTGGAAGTATCGCAGTATTTTTGAGTTCTATAAAGCTCTCGAACCCACACCTCAACAGCTTGCAGGGACTAGATGAAGTGTTTTTAAATATTTAACTTAAATATGTAATGTGTAAAAACTAGTGGGTAACAGAAATTTGAATACCCAGATAGAACCCAGACACCCAATGATTTTAGAATGCATGGGTAACATACCCACAACACCAAAAGCTTATCTGGAGCTCTGAGGGCTAGTGCCAATGTCTAACGCTGATATAATAAAGCTGGCCGAAGTGTGCACGGAACACTTCCCCAACTTTCAAATACATTTTGGGGATCCTTAGGACATTACTTCACTGACTGCATACTAGAAACAAGTGTTCTGACGTTTTTCAAAATAATTCAACAAACACACATCTTTTTGAATTAATAACAAGAACTTAAAAGACTGGTCAGTTGATTAGAAGGTTTACCTGACATGACCTATATATATACAGCGTTAGAAATTGGCACTAGTCCTGTGGTCCTTGCCAAACTGCCCAATAGTTAAGGTATCATAAGGACTAGTAGAAATTTACCATTATTAAGGGTTTTGCTATATGTTATCATTATAAGGACTAGTGGACTAAAACTGTTAGTTTCTAACGCTGTAGACTTGATTTAAGCGAGATTAGACTTTGGCCCAATAGTGATAAGTGAGTATGGTTTTACACCGCTTTTAGCACTATTCCAGCAATATCACATCGGGGGACACCAGAAATGGGCTTCACACATTGTACCCATGTCGGGAATCGAACACGAGTCTTCGGTGTGACGAGTGAACGCTTAAACCACTTGGCTACCCGACCGCCCCTGGCCCAATAATGTCTACCCCTGAAGAAGACCGGGAACAACATTATCAATTCCTGTGCGACTCACTCTGCTTGCTCTTGCAAATGGTCAGTCCCCCTGCTCCAGACTTGGCTATAAGGAGGTTGGCCTCCGAGCGAATTGTGATGTACGACTTGTCTTGAATCTTCAGCTTGCCTGCTCCAGCGCCTACAGACATGATGGAAGAGACCGTCGTGAAAAAATCTTTTGGAATCTGAAACATGATGCACCAGACAAAAAGATTAACAAATGTCCTAAATCATGTTTTGTTTGTTTGTTGTTTAACGCCGCAATCACATCAAACATAATAGAATCTCCGTCTGCGAATTTAGTCACTAATCGGAACCCAGAGTCAAGTAAAATTCTGTTTCCCAGCTAATAAATAGAGTATTATACAAGCATGTGTGTCATACTGATTTTACAAACCAGGGTCAGAATTGTATTTCCCGATTAAGAGTGAGTTGGGTTTAACGCCGCTTTTAACAGTATTCCAGTTATATCACGGTGTGTCAGCTTAATGTGGGAGGAAAGCCCGAAGTGATGCAGGTCTCAGACATTTACCACTTCGGTGAGCGAGGGTAATACATGAATTCTTACACAAGTTTCATAAACTCAGTATGACACACATGTGAATGTAATAATTTCTTTATTACCCATTATTTCTTAATCCTTTTGAGCTCCCCTTTAGAAAAATGCAGTGCTCACCACTGCTGTCCTAGAAAACCACAATTTGTCGATTGACGTCAACAATCTTCAGTGTGACATCATTCCGACATTATGTCACAATAAGATTCGAGTGACGTCAACAATGCCACCCAGATGAGGTAAACAATGTTAATGCCAGTCCAATAACCAAAACAAACCGCTGTAGACACTCTGCTTCTTTCAACCGCCTCCGTGGTCTAGTGGTAGAGCGTCCACCCGGAGAGCGGAAGGTCAGGGGTTCGATCCCCGGCCGCGTCATACCAAAAGACGTTAAAAGATGGTACTTGTTACCCTGTCTGGCACTCGGCATTAAGGGGCTAAAACAAGGACTGGTCGGCTCGGGGTCAGTATACTGTGTCTGAGTGGGGTATTCATGTTAAACTGCGGCATGGTATCTCAGTGAGCTAGCACTATAAATCGGCATCAGTCCAGTCTAGTACAAGCAGCCACACACACACACACACACACACACGTCGCTATATAAGTGCAATAATCTTGGATGCGACGTTAAACCCAATTTCACCTCACCTGCTTCTTTCATTCTTCCTCAGCTTACACCACTCACACAAAAACAACCTGTCACGCCGGCCGGCACATGCTCACACACTTTCTCACAACACAAGATTTTCCCAGAAGCCCCAGTTCCAGCATGCGCAGTGGGACTAGCTTAGCAGACCATATATCAACAAACAAAAACTCGGTTATTTCCAATCCTATTGGTAATTACAGTCCATATGGTAAACTAACATCTACTGAAAATGATGTTTGGTCAAGTTGACTCAGTTTTTGGCACAGGGGTTTAAAGATGAGAGCCCACCGGACCACTGCTCAGACAGGAAAGATGTGTGTGACCACAATCACTCCATAGATTATCAACCCTGGCTTATCTTTCAGAGTGAACTTGATCATGACACAGCTGAGAGTGCAAACCCCCTTTTGGTATGCTGGGCACAGAACCCAGTTAAGTGGTGTAGTGATTGCGGCGCTTCCGTATTCTTACATCTGGTGGCCTCGGATTGGCCATCCAGTGTTGCTTGGATGCTTCCGGGTGGGATTGTTTGTTTGTTTGTTTGTTTGTTGTTTAACGCTGCACTCTGCAATATTCCAGCTATATGACGGCAGTCTGTACATAATCGAGTCTGGACCAGACAATCAAGTGATAGACACGAGCATCGATCCACGCAATTGACATACGATGACATGCATCAAACCAAGTCAGCGAGCCTGACCACCAAATCCTGTTAGTTACCTCTTACGACAAGCATAATCGCCTTTTACGGCAAGCATGGGTTGCTGAAGACCTATTCTACCCCGGATCTTCACGGGTCTCCATACTCGTACATCTGGTTGCAGATGGGGTCATTATGACTCGCTAGATGGGCTACAGAGAGTCATAGGTGTTTTGTAGGGGGCCATTTTTATGCAATATTAATTGATGACAAATTTAAATACTGATTCTGACCGTCAAACTAAGCATGTCTTTAGCAACCACTGTCTTAGTAAATGTTCAAGGAACCTGTTTAGCGGATTCCGCAATACGACCTCCAGCGGAATGGACTCACCCTAAGGTACCTTTCTGTATTCTGATTTTGGCTAGGGTAAATGTCTGTATACCGAAACAAACCTGGGGTACATATCTGTAGTACCTATGCTGACAACGACCCCTTCAGCAGCACTGGGCTTTCACAACAAGGGTGCTGTGAACAGGGTGAGCCTATCTGGGAATTTGTGACAAAAAAAATATGTCACATGACCAAGGGAGAGGACTGACGCATTGCAGTACACTGGATGCCATGAAATTTTTATCTTGTACGCGGATGCCAATATTTCAATGCTGAAATTTAATTTCTGCCGTTTTGTCTTGCAGAGAGTGACAAGTCAAAAATATATCTAGCCATGAGCGTATCACAATGCACAGTCAAGCTTTTTATGTGAAATTCCCAGGCTTGTTGACTTGTACAGGGTTAGAAACTAACAGTTTTTGTCCACTAGTCCTTACAATGATAACATATAGCAAAACCTTTAAAATGGGCCAATTTCTACTTGTCCTTACGATACCTTTACTATTTGGCAGTTTGGTAAGGACTACAGGACTAGTGCCAATTTCTAACGCTGTTGTACCAGACACGCGTATACTGATATGGTTCAAGAGTTCTTATATTGGACAAAGTAGATCTACATGCTTGATGCCTCGATTTGGTGGTACCCTGCAAATACTGATAAAAAGTGCTGACGACACAGACGTCTCACAGCTGCAACATAGCCAACTCCGTGATGGTCTTTCGTCTACTGACAACCAAGACACGCTGACGCAATGAACAATAACGCCGACATTGTGTGAGCGCGTGTGACAGGCAATTCAGGCCTAATGCTTGCGATTGAATAATCATATCTCATATTTGGGATTGCATACTGTCAAACTTGTAATTGCACAACAAATGATGTATATTTTTGTTCAAAATGATGCACTTATGCTTTTCATGATTAATTTCATTCAGTTAAATTAAGTAATACAAATTTAGAAACTTGAACAGGAGTGAACACCGATACTGGCGCCATATTCTAACCTCTTTGGCGACTTCGTCTGTCGCTCCCCATACGGAACCATCTAGTCCGAACACCCCCGCATGATGAGATGCTTGCTGCTTAGCGGATGTTTGCAGGCAAGAAGTTGCCCAATTCTCCCACGACGATGTCATTTGTTTATGTGAGTCTCTTGACAGTCAAATTCAAGTGCCGGAAATCTCCACCGCCTCTCAATATCACCGGTGCGTCGTGTAAATAATCCCTATGAAATAGGATCCACCAACACAGCATCATTTTTGGGGGGTTGGAAAGGTAAACCAAAAATGTCATTTGCTAACTAGGAACTAAAGATGTGTTCACTGGTGTTCATTCAAGAATTTAATCTCTATTTTATCAAACATTTTGTGGGATCGATAAATCTTGTCAAGCGCGAAGCATTTTCGTGATGTGTGTGACATATTTCCATTTGTCATTTTCTGGAAGTACACCGAATATTGACTGCTGACACGTGCTCCAGTGTACAAAAATATATTGGATTTACATCTATCTGTGGCAAAATGGCTTTGGGGCTTCAACGGGTCCAATATTTTTAACTTGCGTACCTAGGGTGTGAAACTCGAGTACCCGATAGTAAAATATTTCTGATAAAGCCAGCTTATACGTCAGCATTTCAACACGTAACTCCCAATTCGTTTTGAATAACGCCCAATATGCATCAACTATTCAATAAACAGTTTTTTAAACCCACCTAGCTGCGTTGCAGTTTCGTAATTACTGTTTTCCAAGACAAGTTGACCTACATACGTCAGTAGTGACTCGTTACGGCAAAGCTCTATCATTGGGCTTATAGCAGGGGAGACACGGGACATACGTAACAACATTAAGGGTCTTTACTCTCAGAAGAAAAGCTATGATGTAGAGTTACGTCCCTTAGCCTTCCCACCAAGGACACCCACCTTTGATGGAGCGGTGGCCACAAGGAAAGAAGCGGTGAACAAAATTCAAATTTTATGCAGGCAAATCCAAAACTCAATAAATACCATAACGTTTTTTCACCGCACGTATGTATGTTGCTAGTTTTGTGATTAAACTTTTGAAATGGAAACTTGTCACTTTACGCCATATTTTGAAGTAGAAATTGTGTAACTGCCGTATGCGGTAGATCTGTGTGACACGTAATGAAACATGGACGTCTTCATTCGGGGCAGTTGTAACAATATGCCCCATTCATTTGTACTACGATGTTATTACAATGCCGCTGTAATTTATATGTACTTAATGCTTACGTCTATGCATATATTTTCCTGGGGGGGGGGGGGGGGGATTACCAAATCCTTACTAACACGTCTGTCAAACGGATCTTGTTAGAAAATACACTAAAGGCAAAAGAAAAGAAGAAACCAAAACTATAACGTCTGGCGTAAAAACAAAAGAAGATGCCCGTTAAGTACGACTCTGACAGTGATTCTGATTCTGAAGGTGAGGTGAGGTGAAATGGGGTTTAACGTCGCGTCCAAGATTATTGCGCTTATATAGCGACGTGCATGTACGTGTGTGTGTTTGTGTGGCTGCTTTTACTAGTCTGGACTGATGCCGATTTATAGTGCTAGCTCACTGAGATACCATGCCGCAGTTTAACATGAATACCCCGCTCAGACACGGTATACCGACTCCGAGCCGACCAGTCCTTGTTTTAGCCCCTTAATGCCGAGCGCCAGGCAGGGTAACATCAAGTACCATCTGATTCTGAAATAAACATTTGCTTGGTTTGTTGCGACAAGTTTTCAAAAAGTCGTCCAGGTGAAGAATGGGTTCAATGTTCTCCATGCAAGTATTGGGCTCATGAAGAGTGTTCATAAAAAACAAGGATTCTTCAATTGTCAGACCTCTCAATCAGACGGTGATGAATGTACATTTGTTTCCAGTTTAAACAAAGTTATTCAGTTTTATAGTTCCATGTACTAAGTGAGTGAGTGAGTGAGTTGGGTTTAACGCCGCTTTTAACAGTATTCCAGTTATATCGCGGCGTGTCAGCTTCATGTGGGAGGAAAGCCCGAAGTGACGCAGGTCTCAGACGTTTACCACTTCTGTGAAACCCACGAGCACGGGTATGGTGCTGACAAATCTAGAAACATAATCGGGGCGAACCGGGATTCGAACCCGCGATCATAGGTTTCTGGCGTGTCCAAGGGACGCAACTCTGCACAGCGAATCGCGGCGCTTTAGACGACTGGGCCACCCGTGCCCTCTCCATGTAGTGTATTTTCAATATTAAAAAACTTGTTACATTGACCCTTATGTGTTACATTTGATCCATCGGCCCGTAACTATTTTTGAACCATGATTGATTGCGATTGTAACACTTGCTAGCATCGCCGTCATCCGAAATAATTATGTAACGACGGGACCTGGAAATTCAAATGAGACAGGATTTTAAAGCCACTATGATCATGTTTCATTTAGCATAAACTATAACTTGACAAGAGTGTTTCTGGTATTGATTTGCAGTAATATAAGTTGCTCGTGTTACATTTGTCCCCTGTCTCACCGACCCGTGAAGATTCCGGGGTAGAATAGGTCTTCAGCAACCCATGTTTGCCGTAAAAGGTGACTATGCTTGTCGTAAAAGGCGACTAACGGGATCGGGTGGTCACGCTCGCTGACTTAGTTGATGCATGTCATCGATCCCAATTGCGTGGATCGATGATCATGATATTAATCACTGGATTGTCTGGTCCAGACTCGATTATTTACAGACCGCCGTCATACAGGTGGAATATTGCGGAGTGCGGCGTTAAACAACCAACCAACCAACCAACCAAACCCTGTCTCTCCAAGGCTTATACCCGTGAAGATCCGGGTTGTGGTCCTGGGTGCCGTTGTACAAAGCGATCTTAGCGCTAACGTGGTCGTAAACCCCATACCTTACATCGACTTACCACAGTCGTTGCGCTATTATGTTGTTTAGTACAACGGCACCTCTGTCTTCAGCAACCCATGCTTGCCGTAAGAGGCGACTATAAAACGTGATCAAGTGGTCAGGCTCGCTGACTTGGTTGATATTACTGAATCCTAATTGCGTAGATTGATGCTCATGGTGTGCCTCACTGGATTGTCTGGTCCAGACTTGACTATTTACAAACCGCTGTCATATAGCTGGACTATTGCTGAGCGCTGCGTTAAGCAACAGACAATGAAAACTATATACCGTATTCGACATAATACGTGCCCAGGGCGCTCTCAAAATTAGAAATAGGGGGCTCTTATTAGAATAAAATTTTGGTGAAAAACAACAGAGTTGAAAGATCGTAAATTTCGTGGTTTATGCTGACAGCCTGAAATGATAGAAAAAAAGTCTGTGTGTATTATACACAACATATATATTTATCAAGAATTTAATTGCCCATAATTAAGGGTGCATACAGGCCGGCAAAGCCACATTTCGAAAATAGATAGCCCAAATTGATGTGGCTCTCGCGGCAATGGTTATGGTTGCGTGATTGTATAATGTGGCTCTCGCGGCTATGCTGTCAAAACATGCTTTGTGATTCTAACAGGTTACCGTATATAACAAAACAAGTCTTGTTTTCTCATTTTTTATTCAACAAGGATAACATATTCATCAAAACTTTACATTGATGAATATGAATAGCATATGAATATTATAATGGATTTAATGTCATTACTGCAGATGAAGGAGGTCGCCCACGTGGTCAGCATATTTCATCTCACTCAGGTGTTGGTTCAGGAGCTGGATCTTGAGGGACGCAATACGTGCATCGATTGCCTTGTACTTCTTTCTTCGTGAAGGTTCTGACCACTGCATGGTGAGAGAGTCTCAGGACTGCAACCTCTTTGAGTGACTGCTCTCGCTGAAATAGCTTCACTACCTCGTAGATGTTCGGGTGGCACTTCTTGGCAAGTTTCTTTATCTTGTTGTGCCACCCTTCCAGGTGATTGTTTGTACGGTGGCCTTGGTTTTCGAAATGGTTCCAAATCTCTGGCATGAAGGCCCCTTCTTGAACCCAACTGGTTGTCACGTAGTCCATGAAGGCAGTCACTTTAGGGCCAGCAGGAGAGTCAGCAATGGCATCAAGCCACACATCATCCACTTTGTCACGAGGTACTAGAGGGAGGGCAGCAGCTCTTCTCACCAGCTTCTTCACCTCCTCATCTTCCTTATAGTCCATCACCAGACCTTCTTTCTGCACCCTCCTCCAGATACATTGGGTGAAGTGAAAGAAACACCCTCTAACTAATGTCCCAGGAAATACACCACGCTTAGTAATTTAAATGTGGGACACTCATATAAAGGTATCGGTAATCAGATTAATTAATTACCCGCTAGAATAGGTGAAATGCACTCAGATGAAAATGTGGCTCTACCGGCAATAGCCATTTCTGAAATGTGGCTCACCCGGCTAGACACCCATATAACACACGAGTGTGTACTATACACGAATAAATAAGTCTTGTGTACATTGATCAATCGGAAGGAGTTGGAATTGTTCACTAGCCAATATATTAGCAAATATCGCCGTGGGCGCTTATTAGAGCGGGGCGTGTTACGACGTAAATTGTAATAAAAAGGTAAATTGTAATACTTGCAGCAAATTGTAATAATTTTGACGTAAATTGTAATAACAACGTAAATTGTAATAAAACTTGACGTAAATTGTAATACGCAAATTGTAATAAAAATTGACGTAAATTGTAATAATCTCAACTTGCGGTAAAATGTAATAACTTGTTACGTAAATTGTAATAACCTTATAAGTTCAGTGTCAAAGGCGTTAAATGACTAGAACCTATCATTGTCAGGGTTGGTACAGGGTTTATCGTACAATCGTCATTAAAGTATGGGTGTGGGGGAGGGTTGTGGTTATCGTACATTATTGTATAGTTATATGTATATATAAACGCTTTGGATTTTCATTTCTATGGTTGTCCAGAAGAGGATTAATTACAAGAATGAACTTAGTTTTCTTATTTATTTGAGAAATACTCTGTGTGTTTTGTATTTAATTGAAATATATACTATTGACGATTTTCATCATAATTGTTCATATTTAATCTAATGGAATCATATTTCAATTGGTAAAGTAGGTAGTGATATACACAATGGAATAATTATAACGTAACAAACTTACACAAATATTTGTGGAAAGTCTGACTTTTACTGACTGAAGCAAATGTATTTATTTTGCAACTGTATATTTGTACATATTTTATGCGGAGAGGGGTTTACT